TTCACCATATTGAAGTCTTAGGAGGAACAAGAGAATTAGAAAGAGATAAAATTGTTCATTGTATCTCCTATTACTGTATATAACATGCTTTCTAAAGAATCTGCTAGGACAGTTCTTAATTAGTTAAAAGGTTTGGTCAATATTTCTTGTTGCAAAATCAATTTGCAAAATGCACATGTATTTCCCTAACAGGAAACAAAGAGAACTTTAACTTACAATATAGAAATGCCTAACAGATACAACAGCCTCAAACTATCAAGTATCTGGGAATATGTCTAACAAGAGATGTATTAAACCATCAAGAGAAAATTAAGAGCTGGCCAGTGGGAATACCTTTAATCCCCCAACTCGGGAGGCAGAGGCAGGCAGATTGCTGAGTTTGAGGCCAGCCTGGTCTACAGAGTGAGTTCCAGGACAGACAGGGCTGCACAGAGAAACTGTCTCAAAAAGCCAAGGGGAGGAGGGTAAGGAAAGAAGGGAGGGTGGGGGTTGGGGGAGAAAGAAAGGGAGGGAAGACAGGGCAGGGGGGAGAGAAAGAGAGAGTGCAACAGAGAGAGAATATTAAGAATTCACACCATGAGCTGTTAAAAATAGTCACAGGAATCCTACTTTGAAAAGGGGTACAATATTCATGGAAGATTAAAAACTACACCTCCCACCCTCTAGAGGACAATAGAGAGCTTGATATAACAACTGGGACTTGAAAATCTGAGTAACCTGTGTCCTCTTCCACCAGGGGCAATGCTCTCAGGGGAGCTAGGTAGCCTTGGATAGAAGGCCTAGCCAGCCTTGAGTCATAGCAGGGTATCAACAGCGGGGGAGCAAGGGTTCCTGTAAGAAGTTACTCAGTGGCAGCGGCCCACCCAGAGAGGCCTATTGGAGGAAGAAGCAGAGATGCTGAAGACCCTGTTGCCTAGCATCCCTCTATTGTTTATCCCCACTGCTGCCAGCCACAGCACAAAAGGACCAAGAGGTTTCATCTCATATTGCTTTTAGACTCAGCTTTGGTGTGTATTTATCTTGTTTGCAGAAACAGCTATAAGCATTTGCACTGTTCCATCAACCCTTCTGAACATCAGTTTCCTCACCCATAAAGAAGAGGGATTCCTGACTCAGTGTCAGGAGGAAATGGATGTGAAAACACTCTTGTAAAGTGTTGTCTAAATACATGACATTCTTCCGGCTAGTACTATTGCTTCTCTGTAGTCTGCAGGTAAGAGACTAACATTCTATTGCCTAGACCCAAAAACATTTCCTTCCTTCTGTCCATATGTTTGTCATCAAAGGCATCATTGAGTCCTTACTCTGGTCATAGCATTTCTTTAATTAGTTCTCACAGCACATAAGGGAGGTGTGTGCTACCTAGCTCCATTCCACAGATGAAAAAAAAAAAAAAAAAAAAAACCAAGGTTCAATTCTCCATTAGGCATTCATAAGTGCCTTTCGTGTAACGAGGGTTCTTAAAAAAAAGACAGGCACAATCCCTGCCCTACAAGTTCTAGTTGAGAATCCATCCAAACCTCACTGACAAACTGGCAGACCCCACATCCAAACTCAACTCCAGTGGACACCAGCGGCTACACCTTCAACTCACCCCTGGAGGTGCCTTTATCCCCACCCCCCGCACTTCATCCTTTTTAATGATGTAGTGATTGGTAACACACATTCCTCTAGTAGCAACAAGGTGCAATGGCCCTTTGCCATGCAAGCAAGTGAGATCTGTTAGCTTCAGTCCCGTACGACCCTCCTGCAGGATCATCCAAGAATTACCATGGGGTTGATGAATGCATAAAAGAGGTGAGGCATCCCCCCCAAAAACCCCACCCTGGGCAGCAGAAGCAGCATTGTTCCCTGAGAGTGTACAGCTGAGTCCTCTGCCACCATTAATGGCAGAAGTGAGTCACTTATAAGTAAGACACAGAGCTTTGTTATAATTACATCCCGAGATTCAGCAATGCTCTGCATCACTGTGAAAGAGAGGGCAGCGGGTGACTGAGGCTTGAATGATCCTCTGCCAGGTACGGCTTTCAGATAAAGCGTCTTGGATCAGGAGCAATTACAGCTAATGCCCAGCCTGAATGCTAATGAGAATTATTTACAATTGCATGTAATTCTTTGCCATTCGTACACCCGCCCTCCCCCCTTTTCTTTTCTTCTTTTCTTTGCCTGTCTATCTCTGCGTTAATCCTGAGAAACAGACACTAGTAAGAATGATTCATGGCCATTTCCCAGATGAGGATACTGGAGTCCATGGTCAGTCAGTTGTAAGGGACAGAAATGAGTTTCAACCTTGAGTGTGCTTCCCTGGGAGAGAGGCTGTCCAATTCTGAATGCACTCTAGTTCCTCAGAAGGCACGTGGTATCGCCACAGCCAGCTGCACACTCTCTCGGAGGCAGTGGCGAGTGTCCTCTGTTGGGACAGCTGTGGACAGATCTTGTGAAACAGACCTCACACACGCCCTTTAACCCCCTAATTATCGAAAGACTCTTGCTTCTCCTTGGGGAACCAAGTAATGACCACACAGTTCAAATCCAGGCTGAGAGACAGGAAACACCTTCTTCTGCCTTCCAGCCTGAGACTCCCCAAGTCCCTCCTAGCCTGACCGCTTCCTTTCAGAAACATGCACTTGAAACTGCTCTGGCTCCAAACCACACATGAGCACAAAGTTGAACCTGTCTGGTGAAGGAGATAGATATGGGTAGCAGTGACAATGGCAGCAATGTCCAGGGCTTCCCTGGGACGGGCACAAAGCTGGGTGGGTAAGGAGTCTTCTACCTGTTAAAATTTGAGGCTCCAAAAAGACTTTTGCCACATGCAACATCTAAACAGATCTGCTCCCACTTCACAGAGAAAAAAGCCACGGGGCTTGGGGCTGGAGATGTAGCCCAGTAGTCAAGTGTTTGCCTAACATGAACAAGGCTCTGGTTGGATTCCCGGCATCACAGAACAAAGCCAAGGCATCAAGGGGTGCACAGTAGCCAGGAGCTCACAGGCTCACCTAGCTGAGTCTGTCACTGTCACAGTGACAACAGCCACACTTCCGTGATACTGTGGTGAATTACAAGGTACCTTTGCAGTGCCTTGTCAACAGTTAGTTCTTTCACCAGACCAGGGAAGAAGGAACCATAAACACCTCTATTCAAAACATGGAGAAACAGAAATAGGTGAAGCCACATGTGACAGTGCATAAGAGACAGCATGGCTGGACCCAGGAATGCATCTTCAACTTCTCTGCCATGCCTTGGTACTGGGGAAAAGCCACTGTGTTTCTGCCAGGCGTTTCTTAACCATAGAAACGAAAGCGTTCAGGGAAGTTCACAAATACCTCCCCACCACACTCAGCTCAGGACTTGGGGACCCCTTCTGGGACAGGACTGCCCCGTGTTGCTGGGTGGAGCTCGAGGGACCCTGGCAGGCACCTCCGGCCTCCGCACAGCTCTGAAATTATAGATGGGTGGTAACCAGCTAGCTCCTGGCTTTGCAGGTCTTTGTCACATTTGAAAACAGTATCAGGCAAACCCTGCCCTCCATCAGGGGCAATGTACTGGGGGCAGACAGGTGGCCGTGCACGAAAGGTCCAGCAAGCCCCGAGCCACAGCGGGAGATCAACATGGAGTGAGCAGGGATTCCTGCAAGAAACTACTCAATGGCAGCGGCCCACCCAAAGAGACCTATGGAAGCAGGGGTGCTGAGGACCCTGTTGCCTAGCATCCCTCCATTGTTTATCTCCACCGCTGCCAGCCACAGCACAGAAGGACCTGAGGTTCCATCTGGCACCTGAGCTTCACCGATAGTCTAAGATACAGGCAAGACTGGTACTCAATCCCCACTCCACCACGGACCAGCCTGCCAACTCTAGGCAATCTATTTAACCTCTCTGAGTCTCCGCCTATTGCTTAATAACGCTGTTGTCTTATCTGTTCTAATCCATAACCATCTCTGGGGGGCTGTTCCTCTGTATAAAGCCAAGAGTCGGGTATTCAAGCCCCCCGGGTCAGATTCCTACCTACCCTCTCCTTCACCTTCCAGTGAGACGCTTCACCGAGGCTCACCTTCCTGCCCTCCCTGTCCCCACCCCCCAATAACGGAATGCGCTCTCCAAGCTCCTCAACCTGAGTATCTTCTAGCGGGATACTGCCGATTCCCTCAGCTCCATTTGGCCTGAGGTGGGAGCCCCCTGCCGGAGGACAGAGACCCTGCCTGGAGCATCCCTTGCGCCTCCAACTCCCAGGCTAGCAAGAGCCTCAAAGGTGGCTTGTGCTCCGGTTCAAGATCTAACTTCCAGAGCAATCCTGGGTAAATTCCAGAATTTGGTCTGCCCTGACCCTCGCCCCGAAAGGGCAGCCCTATTGGACCTCTGCCATCAGAATCACATCCTGGCCACAGCTCCCACCCATCTTGTACAGCCAAGAGCTGATACAGCCAGCTGGGAAAGGAGGGAGCGTTGGTTCAGATGCTTCTCATACCCAGCTAAGTAGCTTGGATTCATCCAATTCAGGCTCAAGGTTCTCCTCTGTTTCACAACTTTCCCTACCCAAGCCTCAGGTTCCTCCTCTGTAAAGTGGGTGTGTTAATAGTACCTGGGTCCTGGAGGTTCAGAAGGATTTGAAAGACAGTGGATGTCCGGAGCTTGGCACGGAGATGGCACCTCCACCCAGGGGCTGGGTCCACGGTCAGCATTAAAAGCAGACCCTGAGGAAGCTCGGGGAGCCCCTGAGGCGGTCCCCTGACCCAGGAGTCCGGAGGCCCACTCTGACCGGCGCGCCAGGCCCAAGCTCGGGGAAGCCACAGGTGTTTGCGCGTCCGGGAGCTGCAGCCACAGCTCTGCCACCCTCTCCACGCGTCACCAGGGCACCCGGCGATCCCACTTCGTGCGGCCACCTGCGGGGCGTCCCCGGCGCCCTGCGAGGGTGAGGAGCTCAGAGCCGGGCCTGAACGCATCCTCGCCAGCCGCCCGGAGCCCGGTTCCCGCCCCTGCCCGTGCCGCGCTCCGACTCACCCGCGCCAGCAGCTCCGGGGAAAGTTTGGCGGCGGCCGCCAGGCTGCTCGGTGCGGTGGCGGCGGGCGCGGGGGTGGCGGGAGCACGCGGAGGCGGGTGCGGGGGAGGAGCCACTGAGGGGCCCGCCCACCAGCAGACCCGGTGCGCCCTCCCCCGCCCAGCTTCCACCGCCGCGCCCCTCGTCCATGCGCTTGGCAAGAGGCCAAGGATGGATGGGTCCGAAGCCTGGCGACAGCCCTCCGCCACTGCCACCGCACGCTCGCTCACCCGGGGGCACCGAGAGCCGCAGAGCAGACCTCAGTGTAAGGAGAAGCAGACAGGCTGCTTCACAAATTCAACCACAGGTGAACGGAAGAAGACAGGACCAGACCAGTAAAAGACCGAGTGACACTGACGAATCGGGACCACCGAGACTCCCCGAGGTTTAGAATCGCACACCCCCCTGTTTCTCACTAGGCCCTGAAGAATGAATGAGTTCCCTCCCTCCCTCCTTCTCTCCCTCCCTCCCTCTCTCCTTCCCTCCCTCCCTCCTCATCCCGCAAGTGCAGAGCTGGAACCCAGGGCCTTTCACTGAGCTCTCAGTGAGTTCAACTTGCACTGTACCATTTCGCTTAGGAACCTGTGCTGTCTGAGAGGGGACAGTAATTGTGTCAGTGTGTGTGTGTGTGTGTGTGTGTGTGTGTGTGTGTGTGTGTGTGTGCTCCCACACAGGTCTCCAGTTTGCGGTGAGGGAGAACTTAAGAAACTTTTCGTTTTCTTAGCTGGGAGGGGATGTTTCTCCTTTCTTGTTTGGTTCCAAGAAATACCTTTTAATGTACTTTTAATAGCTTCAGATGGCAACACTCAGTGAGAGGAGGACAACTGGGAAAGGAAAATGGGCCCCTCCTTGCTATGACAGCCTGCCCCCCCCTCATCCCCCTGCATTGGATAGTCATGGGAACTCGGGCCCAGCCCCATTGGGGCTCTTTTTCCTCAGACTTGTATGGAGGCCTTAGTCCCCTTTCAGTCCTCAGGGCCCATCTCTGTTCCTAGTGCTACAGGAGTGCCCTTATTTAAATCTCACACTGCAGGAGAGAAAAGGAGCAGTCATCATCCCTATTTACAGATAGAGAAACTGAGGCCTGGACAGGTTTTATAGCATCCTACGCATCACAGAGAGAACTGCACTTCTCTCCTACCTAACCTCAGCCCAAGGGCCAAAGTCTTCAACTTAGCAAGGCTGTTGGCAAGTTCGTGATGTCCTCTACACTTGGTTCAAGCCTCACTATAGCCCTTGACCATATCTGTGCCTGTCTGCAAGGCAGGATTGCAGACTCATTAGAAATGCCATCAGGACCCCCAGAGACACGTGGTGGCTGAGTTCAGGACAGCTGGCAGGCCTGGGGACCAAGCCTGCCTGACCCTGACTCTCTCTGACCTGTACCTCAGGGGACCTAGGAGCACAGGAATCCACAGCAAGTTCCTCCCACTTCCGTTTGCTGCTCTAGGGCCTCCGTATTTACACTTTGCAGGACTAATGCACCCTTTGGAACTGAGTGAGCTACTAGGGTTGCACCTGTTATAAACTGTAAGGCGAGATACGAGATACTTCCTCTCACAGCTGTGGGGCGTGCAGGAGTTGGGGGGGCGGCAGTGGCAGAGAGCCTCGGAAATGGTGGGGACCCTCTCATCTCTCTGCTTCCTGAAAGTCAGCAAAGGCCTGATAACTCAGAATTCTGCTTAAAGAGGGTTTCACTTCCTAGGGCCTCTTTAGCTCCTGCTCTACCCATGGGGATTTTTTAGAAAAATCAGCATTTTAGAAACAATGTTTCTACAAACATTATTTGAAGCCTCTAGTGATTTTTTTTTTTCTGCGACACTTGTGACTAACACCATATTGTATCCTGGGCCGTGTCAATCTGGGGTCAGCCAGCTAGCAAGAGACAGGTAGCTAGTAGTGAAAGGCCAGCCTGCCTGCCTTCTGCCCCAAGAGCTTCCCATGAGTCAGTGTGCCTGCTTCTCACAGCGGCTCTAGGAGGATGCTCTGTCTTCATATGGTTTGCAAATGAGAAGGCTGAGCGTGAAGGCACACACCTGCAGTCACAGCTTGGGAGGTAGAAGCAGGAGGGTTTTAGTTTAAGGCAACCTCGGCCACACAGTGAGATCTTGTTTTTTTAAAAAAGAGCGGTCGGCTATTAAGTCATTCCAGGACCAGAAAGGAAGTCCTAAACCAGACCCGAAGCCTGAGTGCCTCTGGCTTCTGTGCTTTGCAGAGCAAGTGAGAGAAGGGTACCTGAGCCCCAGGGTAGCCCATTTAGCATCCCTGCCGGGCTGCTTGCCACCTCTGCATTTGTGTCTTGGAGCCTCAGTTCTCTTAGCTGCAGGTCAAATGAGAATAATGCCCAGGTCATACCCAGAATATGGGTGACCATTCTTTCTGCTGCAAGCAAAAGAAGCTAGAAATAACCCAGTTTGGCCAGAAAGGGTTCTTAAACCTCAAAGACTAGCAGATGAGTCTAGTTTTTGGCATAGCCCATTCCATATGCTCAACAACATCAGCATGAGTCTGCCCCCAGTCTGCACCGTTTTGTGTCCACTTTATTGACAAGCCAATTCTTCCTCTGGGGAAGCAGGGATGACCAACTGACAAAAAAAAAAAAAAAAAAAAAAAAAAAAAAAAAAAATCACTTCTTCTCAATACTTCAGCAAACATCCCAAGACCAACTCTTGTTGTCCTGGCCTGGGACACATACTCAGCTCTGAAATCACAGTGCTTGTTCTGGTTGGTCAAGCCTGAGTCACATGCTGGTGACTGGTCTGGTGGTGGGGTCAGCCACTCTTAAGCCACTATGGTCTAGAAGGGTGGCTCCCCAGACTCAGGTGTAATGAGCAGAATGTGGCATCGGATCTGGAGGTTGCAGTGTCCCCTCTCTCCAGAGTGTTGCGGATTGTGTCAGTGTCTGTGTGTGTGTGTGTGTGTGTGTGTGTGTGTGTGTGTGTGTAGGCCAGGGCAACACTTGGCTCTGGTGGGTGCTCAGTAACTGAGTTTCCTCCTTCCTTCCTCTTCTGGCAAACAGGAACTCTGGCTCACCAAATCCAAGCCAACTTCTTCCAGTTCACATAGGGAAACTGAGGAAGATCCACAGAAGAGAAGGGACTTGTCCCAGGTGCCTGAGCTTGTCAGCCATAGAACCATGCCTGACTGGGGAACAAATGCCACTGGAAGTGTCAGCTGACAACTTGAAGTCCTCTGCTGATGAGGAGGGAGTTGTCTGCCCTGCATAGACGAGACTGGAAACTCACAAAGCTTCCCCAACCCAGAGGAAGTGAGTGCCACTTATGTTGGGCTCTCAAGTCATGCTATAAGCCTTAGACAATGAGTAGTTCTGGGCAGAGTGCCCAATCAGCTCCCCACCCATTAGAGCTTAAGTCAGCCAGTTCCTCGGGGGACAGCACACTCTGGGTGTTGAGAGATCCCCAAGGTTGGTTGTTTTTTATTTTTTTTTAATTTTTTTATGAAATTTTCCAGATTAGACAAGATGGCTCTTTGCTTGAGTTCTTCCTGATTGCTTTGAGAGAGCAAAATGCATGCTCCAGGACCGGAGTGGGAAAAGGCATGTTGACCTTTAGTCATCAAAGTCAGCTCTTTAGTTGATCTCAGCCAAGCCCAAGTTCCTAGCCTTGGACAATGTTACAGTTTACATCTGGACTGCTCATATGTCGCCAGCTGGTGAAGGTATGGGGTTTAGAAACTGAGGCCTAGTGGGAGGAAGCAGGCCACTGGGAACATGATCTGATGGTTGTGTTTTATCTCCTGCTCCTTCATCTTTGTCTCTCCCTCTCTCTTTGCTTCCTGGCCGCCATGGTATAAGCGGCCTCTTCCTCCCCCATGGGCTTCTGCTATCATGAGCTTCGGCCTCAAGTGAGGCTCAAAATAATGGACCTCAGAAGCCATGAGTCAAAATAACTGTCTTCATCACAAAAGTTGATTTTCTCAGTTGACTAGATACATGGTATGAAGTAAGTCTGTCTATCTATGTATCTATGTATGTATGTATGTATGTATCTATCTATCTATCTATCTATCTATCTATCTATCTATCTATCTATCTATCTAATCTGAAAGGACTCTGGCCAGCTTGAACATGACAACATGGCTCTGACAGGCCTTTGCCCTTCTCCACCATTCTCTCTGCCTTGATAAAAACTGTTAGATTACATTCCTAAAGCTAACCAACCCCCAAGGTCCATTTTCTAATTTGTCCATTTCCTCCTCCTGAGGTTGATACCAAGGTCCAGCTATCAAAGTACTGAAATCCAGCAATCAAAAGCCTCCTTTGGCTCACATAATTAACATGTCCAATTAAAATTAAACACCTCATCCTAACACAGGGTTTCCCCTTTTACCTTTATAAACTGTCATTTGCCTATGGGCCACATCTGTCTCCTCTCTGTCCAGAGGCAGTCCTTTGTAGTTACCCCTCCTCCCTGCAGGACAAATACCCCCTACCCTTCCCCCTCATCCTCTATCTCCTGTCTTCGTCTCTTATCCCCTGTCCTTTGTCCCTCTGGGGCAAATCAATCTCCTTTGTGCTGAGAACTTGGTAACATTCTATCTTTTGAAGGCTCTGGGGATGAACCCAGGTCCTTGGACATGAATGGCAAATACCACACTGGGATGACCAGGCCTCTGCCCTCTCTCTCCTCTTAAGTGCATAGCTTTGGAATTCATTCTATGACAGGAGTTAAAGGAGAGGGTTTTACGTAGGGATCAGGGCACAGGGATGGGAAAGAAACATAAGCAGTAGTGTTCAGCTGACTGCACCCAAATCCCAGCAGGATCTTGAGAAAAGCACTGGGCCACACTGCCCATAAGCCTCTCCATCTGTAAATGAGGACAATGGCATCAGGTTCTCTGCAGGTAGAGGGAGTTATATGAGCGAATGGCCTTGCACAAGGTAAGGGCTCTGTGGACACAGGATGCTGTGTGCTTACCTAGAAGGTGGGACGCACATGCATGTTCAGTATCCTAGGGTGGTCACCTAGGGTCGAACCATGCGACACAGGACTT